AAGTGGTTACGAGCAGCGTCGTATCATAGCCATTTCTGCATTTCCGTCAAATTATGCGGAATCCATCGTGATGCAGTTTTTCTCGTGGCTTAGTATTGGGACCAGTGGGGGGCTCTTGTGAACATTTTATTGAACCTTCGAGTTTCATAAAATGCTGCGAAATTCTTGATTAGCTGCACAATTTTCGGTTTCTCTAAAAGGGCTTAGCTCAATGAGTGAGTGATAAATAACTCTGAACAGGGTTTTTGATTGGAGATTGGATTTATTGCCCACTTTAACACAAGACTCGTGACTACATTTAATCATAATGCCATCGCTGAATTCCACACTTAATAAATCACTACAGAAAACGCTAAGTTTTTCAGTCTGCTGTGCCTTAACCAGTCATTCCCTGGTAACGGCTTCTAACAGTAGGTATTCTTCAACTGTACCTGCAAAGTCGTCTGTTCGCAGATTCCATTACAGCTCTCTGAATCTTCCTTACTACTCTCTCTCAACTCATTGTGTTGCAATTGACTAACTTTTAAGCTAACATCTCGGCACGGACCGCGCAGAAGACACCAGTCATTACTGTATCCCAATCGTTTACATGAGAACGCACATGTTTGCGAAGACGTTACCCAGCAATGGCTGCGTATACTTGCTTATTATATATCTGTACCTTAGAAGCAGTTGTTTTTTCGTTGTTTGTTTCGAGGTCGTTACCCAGTGGCGACTCTACACCCGAATACTCAAAATATTACATTAATTGGTACCAGCTGATAGCAGTACTCCCCCCCATACACACGCCACCCGTAATCTTTAAACAGTTCCTCTCCATGCTTCATGTAGATGACATTGAGCATTAATATCGAGTACCAAAAATAATAGGCAGTGACACGCAACGAACGTACAAAAGGGTTACAAAAACTCTAGAAAATTTTAGAGCATGGACGCTATCAGCAAAACCGTAGGGGATTTTGTATAAAAATAATACCAAGCTTATAATTAAAACTACGATTAAACTTAATCAAGTTTGACATCTATTACCTACATGGGTTGTCTTTTAAGGGTGAAAAATTAATATTAAAAAATTATGTGCAAGTCCCTTAAATTATATGCTGCTATTAGTTTTTAATAATTTCCTTTTAGTGTTGGTATATTGGTGTAGATTTCTAGCCTGACTTGCATTGCTTACTTTTATGATAGTGTCCAGTTATGGCCATCATCAGCCGAAACATGTAAGGGCTCTATTTTATTATTGAAATCACTGTTGCACTTGATGGAATTCATTAATAATTTTACTTACAAGCTTGGTATTATGTTATAGAGTGCAACGGCTGAGGACAATGTCTATCATAATAATATGAAGCTTAGTATAATTCTTTTACACGCTTATTATGCACAATCTCCATGTTAGGCGGGTCCCTGTCACCACGGCATGGCGCGTCCTCGGGTTGCGGATGTTAGGTGGGTCCCTGTCACCACGGCATGGCGCGTCCTCAGGTTGCGGATGGAGGAGACACCCTCTAGTTTTGGAGGGAAGCTGTGAATATATTGAATAAGCAGTCGCGGACAGCCGACAAGGGGTGGCCCTCCAGCTTGGGGGTTGGGCGTGGGTCTAACAACTCACCGGAAAAATCAGCATGTTACGAAAATGAACACAAAGCCTCGGACCTGGACGGATTCCTTGGATAAACAACCTAAGCTAATGAAAATGGATATGAGATTTGGCACTTGGAATGTACGAAGTTTGTATAGGGCAGGTTCGCTCAGGGCAGTGGCAGAAGAAATCTTAAAATATAAGTTAGATTTAGCGGGAGTACAGGAGGTCAGATGGGATGGAGGTGGCATTGCACCAGCAGGAGACTATACATTTTTCTATGGAAAGGGGAATGAAAATCATGAATTAGGTACAGGTTTTTTCGTACATAAGAGAACCTTATCAGCAGTTAAGAGGGTAGAGTTCGTTAGTGATAGGATATCATATATAATACTGAAATGACGCTGGTGTGATATCATTGTTATGAATGTTCATGCCCCAACAGAAGATAAAATTGATGACATAAAGGATAGATTCTATAAAGAACTAGAACATGTATTTCATAAATTACCGAAGTACCCTATGAAAATTTTGTTAGGAGATTTCAATGCCAAAGTAGGGAGGGAAGACATTTTCAAACCAACAATTGGGAATGAGAGTTTGCATGAAATTAGTAATGATAATGGATTTAGAAACCGAAGTGAACGGAGAAGTTCATGGAGGTAGGCCTAGGCCCACTGGGGCTGTAGTGCCAACAAAAAAAAAAAATGGATTTAGAATAGTAAACTTTCATAATGTTGTATTTTAGCGTCCTGTTGCACTGATTTTCATCCATGATACGTATGTAATGGCCGTCTTGTCACTCAATTTCATATGTCGCTTCTTACTACATGTTTCGGCAACACAGTGCCATCTTCAGGTTCGTTATTTACGCTAAGCTATTACATTGCAAACTGTTACATTGCAATGCCAACATAAATTTTAATAAGACATGTTTGAGGAATAGGTTAATACCGAAATACGCCCACATTAAATTACCAGAATATAATGAAGCAGCAAGAGAAACAAAAACACAAGCTCAAATATCGCGTATAAAAAACGAAATAAAATTCCTATACAAAAAGAAGGAACAATTAAACACGCAACTTTACCACAAACACATACACACCGCAAACACATGGCAAAAAGTTTGGAATATTATAGAAGACGCAATAAACCAAAAACTACAACACGAAATGAAAACAACATATTTAAAACAACAACAAAAACTAAAAAACATGGAAAAAACCAAACAGCAATAAACAAGCATAACAACACAACTTATATACATGTACAAAATTGTACAAACACACATTTCACACAAGACGAAATCCAACTCTTAAGCAAAGGATGAAAATACAATTTACACTATAAAAATAAAAAATGGATTGAAACATTAGCTCTTGAAGCAGAAACAGCAATAACAAAAGTAGACATAACAGAACACAACTACTTCAGACACGTAGTAGCGAAACAAATAAAAGATATTAGCAGAAACAAAGAAATTCATAATAGCTATAATAGTAAGAGAGAATGGAAAGTAGTTATGAATAAAAAGAGAAAAATGCTAGATAACAGATTAATAGCAACAAAAGCAGACAAGGGTAAAACATTAGTAATAATAACAGAAGAAGAGTATTAACAAAAAATAATGAAATTTATATATGAAAATAATTTTACACTAATTAACAAAGACCCAACACAACAATACTAAAACATAATTAAACAAACAATAAAACTATGCACAGATACAATACAAAAAGAACAAAAATGGAAATACACAAACATGAATCCTATGGCCCCAAATATACACGCGACAATAAAACTACATAAACAGAACACACCCTTTAGACCCATAATCACTTGGAGACATGCCCCAGCATACCAAATAGCAATACTAATATCTAAGACACTACAAGAATATTTACAATTGCCAAACATATATAATATGCACAACTCCAAACAACTAATGAATGATTTAAACACCATTATAATAGATGAAAACATAACATTATGTTCTTTTGATATAGAAAACATATATACAAACATACCTAAAAAGATATAATGAAAATAACTAAGAACATACTACAACACAATCATAACATAAACACACATACACAAAGAGAAATTACGTGCATATTGAACACTATACTGGACCAAAATTAATTTCTATACGAACAGAAATTTTACAAGCAAACAGATGATTTAGCTATGGGAGCTCCAACATCTGCAGTTCTAGCAGAAATATATATCCAGAACATAGAACACACACAAATATACGACATATTAATGAAACAGAACATAATTGGATATTTCCGATATGTTGACGACATACTAATATTATATGATATAAACAAAACAAATGTTAACGACATGATTATAGAATTTAATAAACTACAAACAACAATACATTTCACAATAGAGAAAGAGAACCGTAAATCTATAAATTTCCCAGATATAGGATATAGATATAGTTGTCGCGTATCGGGCGTATATCGCGACAAATAAATTCTCGACGTATTCGGTGTAGCGAATTTTATTTCACACTCGCTCTTACAATCACCCAAATTACAATCTGACGATTACTGCTATCTGCAGTATCACAATTAGTACACTGAAAAATGCCACAATACAACTGACTGGTTGCTGGCTANCATCTGGTATTAAATACCTTAGACATCGAGTAAATAATTACCCCACTACCAAAGTAGCAAAAGATACTGAGATAGCTACTATAAATAACATACTCGTAAACATTAAGTACAACACAGATATAATTACTAAACTAACTACAAATAAAAGAAACCAAAACATCACATAAAAACATAACATTACAGAGAATTCAGAAGAACAAAAAACGAAATGGGCAACATTCACATACATAGGAAAAGAAACAAGAAACATTACAAAAATATTTCGAGACACAAAATTAAAAATAGCATTTAGAACTAAGAATAATTTACAACATATTTTAAAATCAAAGACACAAATGAGTAAATATAACAAAAGTGGCATATACAGAATGAAATGCCTAGATTGGCCCATGGAATATATAGGATAAACTGGGAGAAAATTTAATACCAGATATAAAGAACACATACATGACATTAGGCACAATAACGGCAATACAGGATACTCAGAACACATATTAAACACAGGACGTGCATATGGTACAATAGAAAACACTATGGATATCATGGCAACAAGAAAGGACGATATCTAAACACATTAGAAAACTATCATATATACAGAACAACAAAGAAAAACACGCATGTGTACAATGTAAATAAGGAAATATATAACCCAGTATTTCAGGAATTACACACAATTTACACAGAACAACATAACACAACTCCACCACCTCCCCCCACTACATTTACCCCCACAACGTCATAACTCAATCAATACGAAGACACACACACATCCAACATTACAACGCTCGCAGCCAAAAAGGAAGGACACATCACAGACACAGTAAGTACTAAACATTATAACACAACACATAACAGATAGAAGTCGAAAGTAATAATAATAATAAGTACCATTTTCAAATTGCAGGTACACACAGAAACGACTCCCATAGTGGACGAATCATACTATACGCGAGTTTGAATTAAGACATATAGATGAATAATCTTAACAAGTTTTAGTATATACAAATTTTATTATAGTTGACGAATAACGTACTTTCTAAATAATTTTATGAAAGACACAAGATGACAAACATATAATAGCTTAGCGTAAATAACGAACCTGAAGATGGCACTATGTTGCCGAAACATGTAGTAAGAAGCGACATATGAAATTGAGTGCACTACAAGACGGCCATTACATACGTATCATGGTAGTAAACTTTGCCACATCAAAAAATCTGTCAACAGTAGAATGTTCCCACATCGTAACATCCATAAATTTACTTTGATATCTCCTGATGGGAAGATACACAATCAAATAGACCAGGGGTCTCCAAACTTTTCGAACCGCGGGCCACATTAGGTAATTCATCACTTTCAACCGGCCGGATAAAATGAGAAATTAATAACTCTAGGTATATGAGTTTTATTGAAAGCACAGAATTTCATAAACTAAATACAAAGTACGTGAGAATAAATTATCGTATATTAATGACAACAGACATTAGCAGCAAATGCTCATATTTTCATCACAAATTATATTAAAACAATTAATGTGAATGTTGGAACTCTTTTTGCATTCTTAAACTCTGATTAAATTGAGGTTCAAATTTTGAAACGCTAATCAAAAGTAGCGACTTTAAATGTTCATCGGATAAATTTGCCCTGTATTTCGACTTGATGTACTTCATCTGGGAAAAATTTTGTTCACACAGATACGTCGTCCCAAAAATGGAGATAAATTTACAAGCAAATTTCTTTAAATTTGGAAATTGCTCAGAGTTAAGAAATTTATAAAATTCGATCAAATTTCCTTCCTTGTATTTGTCTTTAATATGATAA